AGAACTAGTATTGCATTTATCTTTACGAAAAGGAGGGTGGAAATCTGGTATTATAAGAGAGTCATCACTTATGCAATTTTTTAAGTGGGATTCAGTAAAACCAATAATGTCAAAATTTTCCAACAGTAACCTTAGTTCGTCTAGCTTATTAAAGAAATGGCAAACGTTCAAATGGCACAGGTGCAAACCTTTTTGAGTTAGAAATTTAGACATTATATTACACAATTCAATAGAGGTAAGTGAAAGATATACTATTCAAAAAAAGTAGGGGATATTTGATTTTGGGGGCATAATACTAAAATATGCAAATGACTACGAAAAAAGTCACTATAGAACCTAACAGAAGAAACATTTCCAGTTACATGTGACGCCCAAACGCACCAATAGCTACCGCATGGAATGCAGGTGATGCTTGGGATCATCATGGGGGTCCAACCCAAGATTTGCACGACTCTAACTTTGAATGTTACAGTCATTGTGGCATTGAATTCCAGGGTGGAAACATCAGTTTAATTGTTTTAGTGACCAGAAAACAAATTTTGATATGCGTCGGCTTACCCAAAATGAAAGGTTACGTGCCCTTGGCATGCTACAGATCGGCACAACACAGGCGGTTGTGGCGCGGACGATGAATGTTTCTCAGTCTGTCATAAGCAGGCTATGGTCCAGATACCGTGATACACAATCTGTACAGGACAGACCACGCTCAGGTCGACCAAGGGCGACAACTCAAGCCCAGGATCGATTTATCCGTACCTTGGGCTTGAGAAATCGTGTCATCACAGCAAATCAGATCAGCGCTCGTCTTCAAACAGACACTGGTGTGAGAGTGAGTGGCCAGACGATTCGGAATCGACTGCATAGGGGTCACCTTCGCGCCCGACGTCCTCGCGTGATCCCTTGTTTGAGAGATCATCACATTCAGGCAAGACGTCGTTGGTGTAGGGATCGTCAACACTGGGATAATCGACGCTGGAGCAATGTGATGTTTTCAGATGAGTCAAGGTTCACTGTTGATTTTTTGGACAGACGTAGGAGGGTGTGGCGTCGTCGAAACGAGCGCTTCCAAGACGTTAACGTCATCAGACATGATCGATTTGGGGGTGGTTCTGTTATGGTGTTGGGAGGCATCACTGTTGCTGGAAGAACGGCTTTACATGTTGTTGCAGGGCGTGTTACAGGCCAGTACTACCGGGACAACATCTTGGCAGTCCATGTTGTGCCGTTCGCACGACGTCATGGCCGCCGTTTCATCTTCCAGGATGACAACGCAAGATGTCACAGGGCCAGGATTGTTACAGGTTACCTCCAACAACAAAACATCACCACATTACCTTGGCCAGCACTGAGTCCCGACCTCTCCCCCATCGAGCATGTCTGGGACATGCTTGGACAGAGGTTACATCAACGTCAACAACGTCCTGCCAATGTCCAAGAACTTGCTGCTGCGTTGCAACAGGAATGGGACAATCTGGACCAAAATGACCTTAGACGTCTCATTAGGAGTATGCCACGTCGGATCAATGCTTGTTTGGCAAACAGAGGAGGATTTACCCGTTACTGACTTGGTTGTGATGCTGTGGTAACTTTGCTGTTTGACCCCGGGTATCATTTTACCCTTATAATGGTCAGTCTGTGCCTTACTTAGTCTAACGATCATTTGGAATAAATCGATGAATGTGAACTTCATTTCATTTTGTCATTTGTTTCTTCGTCAGTTTCATTAGGTGACTTTAATAACACTTAAAAATCAAATATCCCCTACTTTTTTTGAATAGTATATAATCAAATGGATACAAAATACAAAAAATAAATGGTACAAACAGGTAACAATGTCAATAAGCTCATATATTATAAAATGATAGATAACTGAATATATATATATATATATATATATATATATATATTATAAAAAAAAAGACAAAATATCAAAGTCACCTAATAGTTTACAAACTACTAATCTAATTAACATATGAAATGATCATCTATACCTATAAATTATCAAATTATATACAAGCATACAATAGAAACATAAGAAATATAAACACGCGTTTAGCACTGGGAAGTTACATCATTAAGAATAAATTGGCACAATGGGTAGCACTGGGGCACAATAGACACTGATGAAATCATGGAGGCTATTTGGATTTAACTTATCCCACTTTGATATATGATATAGGTTTTAACACCTTGGACTTAGCACTGGGGGGATAGATCACTAATAATGAATTGGCACAATGGATAGCACTGGGACACAATAAACAATGATGAAATAGTGGAGGCTATGTGGACACCTTGAACTCACAGTTTAAATTCTTGTCCATGGGGGAAAATTGCAATTATACATAAAAGGAAGATTCGGTATAGGCGGTGGAGGAGGATATCTAGGATCAGGTAAACCATGTCCCTGTATACGATTAGCTACATTAAAACTGAAATTATGTTTGGAGTTTATTCTATTGATTTGTTGATTGCTGGCATAGGATGGCGATAACGGAAATTGGGAATTTAGGTTGAATGCTGCTTTCAGTATTGAGGCCAGTCTTCCAGTTCCTCTTAAATTTGGATGTACCTCACCATCATATAAATGTTTTTTAATTGAGGAATTATGATATGTAAAGCTTTTTGCGGTCTTGATGAGTTCACATTTAGTTGAGTCGCATACCTCCTCTAGCACTACTCAGGTAGGTTAGTGTTTGACGTAACGTTGTTTGAACCAATCAAAAATAATGCCTTTTTAGTTTCACTTGATGCTGGGCATCGCTCCAAGAATTTACACGCATCAATGATTTTACCACCACTAATAGTACGGACGGCTGATTTCCCGCTTCGATCTAGCCGATTAGGCTTAATCCATCGTAGGATAGATGAACCAATCACCACATTCACCTGACTATCCAATATTTTATTGCGTTTATGACGTTCAATGAAGCCTCCCCTGCTGCTACTTTGGGTTATATTTGTAGGCCTATAACTGTTATCAACTATATCATTAGTAATCTCAGCTTTTTGTGACATTCTTAGAAGGTTGAGTTCATTTGATATGTCCATATTGGACACTCTTAAAGTAGCATTATCACTCATTAGATTTTGATTGGTTGTGTTTAGGATCACATTTTTTTCTTCAAGAGTTTGAACCTGATTTTGAAGCTTGAAATTCTCCTCCTCTTTCGCCTTGAGACATAAACTAATCTGTTTGAACTTCTCATTTACCCCATTTATTGTAGATTTCAGAGCAGTTATTTCAGATTGTAGCCCGGCGAAATCTGCATGCTGGCTTATTGGAATTAAAGTTGGACTGATTACCGCCTTAGACTTAAAGCGAGGGACGAGGTCTATCAATCTTGGTATGCAACTTGGAGTAGGAACTTTCGAGGGATTTATAAGTAGTCTACGACCATTGCTGTGCATTTGTAGACCTGATGGTGTAGCAGTTTCATCTACCTCTACATTGGGCTCGCTATATCTAATGTTTTTCTGGACAGGTGATACATAGCCACTTGACTTAGAGACATCTGGCGAAGGTGTCGCGTCAGTTGACAGCGTCATTTCAGGGTTATAAGTATTTAGTTACACAGACCCATCACCGTCAATAATATCATTAGTGTTGGGCTTGGAGCATAGTGTCTTCTGGACTAAGTTATTAATATCCTTAGCCCTGTCCTCATTTATCAAATCTAGTATTTCTGGAAAGTGGGAGGATAAGAAAACAGTTTCACCGGAACCATTTACCAAGGCACTCGAGGTAGTATTATATAAATTCATTACATATCGGAAGCACCTTCCTCTTTTACTTGAAGAGACAGTTAAAATCATGGATTCACATCTTTCATTCTTGTATCTTTCATTAAGTATCTTACTATTGTGTTGTATAGAGGTAGTAGAATTACCATTCAGTTTGCTGCTATCTAGTTCCGTTACATGTTCTTCTGTCGTAAAACGGTTACCTGTAGGGATCTTCTTGGCCGCCATCTTTGTTGTTTGTCGTGCTGTCAAAGATCCCTGTTATGCAGCATTAGTTCAATAATTTACACATTTATGGCATTAAAAATAGATAATCGTGTGCACAGGATCATTAGAAAACTTTCTTCACATTATAATCAGCATTTTGATGAGAATTTATAGGTATATGATCAAAACATTTAGCGAGACAAATTCAGCACGTCCATTCCCTCTCGCATGCGCAGGGAAGAAGAACCAGCGGGCTATTTCATGTAACAAGTGTGATCAGTGGACACATAGGACTTGTGGTACAAGTATGTATCCTTTCTATATGTAATTTTTTAGACCAAACCAAAAACTATCAATGAATAAAGAGTAACTATATATTTGTTTTTAATTCAAAGAAATGTATGACTAATTTATAAACCAAATAACAATTCCCTTGGAATGATTTTTGTTGATGTTTTCACAAGTTTTGAATTTTTGTTTTCTTCAGAATTCTGTAAAAAAAAAGTTATGTAGAGGCAGCTAAAGGGGGAGGGGGGAGAGATATTGATTTTTTTCTGCATCATATGTTGAGTAGGTGAGACATCAAGAAATTCACCCATCACTATTCCCACACCACTATCAAGTTCTGATGTTATTGAAAGCTTGCCGGATTTGCCAACACCAGAACAAGCTACAACTGATCCATCTACAGACCCTTCTCCTCCACCAAAGCGTAGGAAAACTGTGCACAGACGTGTTGTGAGACATCCAAGAGATATAACAGAGACCACAGAAGAAAGGGTGACAAGGTTGAGATCCCAGAAAATTGATGGATTGAAGGTAGAGTTGTGCCGCTCGGGTTACAAACCAGGAATGATTTTTTTTAGATTGTCAAATGAAGACAAGTTATATAATTTACATGGCAGGCAAGTACTGTATAAAAACAAAATCAAGTAATTCTTTGGCTGTCATGTGAGCTTATTTAAAACTACAAAAAAAATATTTCATTACATCATGATTACATTTAATATTTACAAATGTTAATATCACATCTGGATGATAAAAACAGAATGGAATTGCTGATTGACATAACAGAAAGGCAACCAGGCTTGATATTTGATATTTGCGACAGATTGGCTATTCCAGCTAGAGACACAACAGTCACATCACCACCACCACAGACAACAAATCCTTCCTGGTGTACCTGTAATAATTGTCAGGAAATGCCAACGGACAGGGAGAAACTATGTTATAGACTTTTGCCTCAAAATTGCCTATCTCTAAGACCGGTAAGCCATTTATAAAATCTAACATTTCATGCAGTGTTAAATTTAAAGTTGAAATATCAGTGAATGAAGTATTTCTTTATGGTAACTTGTGAGTTTATGGCAACCAAATAATTATCACATCAACAACTGGTTTAATCAGAGACTCTTAAATATTTACATTCAAGGCAAACTCTGTTTACAAAATACAAAAATAGCATTTGACAATAAACAACTAATAGTTATATAAAACTATAATACATTTTTACATATTTACATTTTACTTTTTCAGGAAATTGATCAATATTGTTTAGACGAGGGAGTGCTGCAGATCGCATTACAAACAAGAAATGACATTTTTTTTAGGGTGCCAGATGATGATGAACAGAAAAGGTTTCATCATGCTGCCACAGACAAGTAATACCAAGCTGCATAGTCTGCAAAGTGAGGAGGAGGTATCCTGACCCAAATGGCCAATATACAGGTTTCAAGGCAGACAAATGGGCATAACCATGAACGAAAGAGCACTATTCAAAAGACCTACCCAAATTATGAAACAAAAAATTCTATTATATAACAGTAGAATCTGTATGAGCAGCCACTCCTATTCAGCGACACCTCCTTGTAAGCGGTCACGATAAATTCCCCCCTAAAAATTCTGTTGTTTCATCTCTTTATTCAACGGTCACTCCTTTAACGCGGCCAGCGGTCACTATTTTACTAATAAATTCAACAAAACATCACCTATTCAACGACCATTGTTGAATGATACCATCTTGTCGTTCTTTGTAACACCCTCACTAATCCTGTGAGTAGTAGTTAATTAACTGGACCCCCACTGATCAGGTAAAAAGAAATGTAAAAATAACAATTAACCCGGGATTATCTGTTAATTAATCTTTTGTTTTATTAAACGACTAACCTGATCATTGTTTTCACGCGTAATGACACATTATTTGATACTGATTGAATAAAATAAAAGTACCAAGTTTTGTCACGATCATCTAGTATCTCTTTTCCATTGCCACTTTGTTGTTAAACAGACGTTTTAGCGCCTCCTATAATATTACATACAGAGTTTACACCCCCTGTAAATAGGTGATAAAATCAGCGATGGTTTTTTGTTCATGTGCATTTTTGATAAAATAAAATTAATTCATCGATTTTCTTCACAAAAATGGATAAATATTATCGAATGTATCACAATGGTAGACAGTAGTATCAAAGGTTGGTACAAAATGACAAGTTTACAGAAGTTATGTCCGAGATTTGAGTAAAGAATTATCATTCGGCGCAAGATTCAGCAATGGTCAAATTTACCGATGGAAGTATTTATGTACGCTTTCAATGCATTCAAGCGTAATATTTAATTTATGTCAGCACATAAAGCACCGAGATTTTATTAAGAGGCCACTCCCGTTAAGCGGTCAGTTGTGAAAATTCCCTTGGGTGGCTGCTTAATGCAGATTCTACTGTAGTTAATAAACACTGATGTTATTAAACACATTCCTGGTTTTATATTGTTTTCTTAATTTTGGTCTGAATATTATATATTGTGATATTCTTAAAATCGTGTGGTCTGTCTCTTCATAACATCTTCTAGAGTGGGTGGACTGTTAGGCGCAAGGGATCTTCGAATTCTCCTTGGATCAGATGGGGTTATATCTACTCGGGCAGGATTTGCTGTCCCAGATTGAGTATGACTCAAGACTATCTGTTTGATTAATTCAGGTATATACTGATATGTCTTCGGTGGCATGTGAATTAAAATCTACTGCTGCCAACAAACATCTTGCATGGTAGATTGGTAGACTGCAAAATAATGTCAAATACATTATTATTGTTGTTGAACATCATTCATTAATTTTAAAAAGGTACTTTTCATAGAAGGAACGTGAAAAAAGGGATGGGGAAAGAGAATTGGGGTTTAATGTCCACTCAACACAAACAAGATCATTTTGGGACTAACATATAGTTCAATTTTAATTCAATGATTTGCTTGTGCTTAGGGGCTTTAGCAGTTGGAGGAAACTGGAGTACCCGGAGAAAACTCACGATGTTGGACAGGCAACCCTATTCCATGCATCTAAACCATGCCCCTTGACTCGATGGTAGACCGCCTGATCCAACTAGTTAACCATGCGGCCACCTAAAACCCTGAACTTGAAAGAAAGTGAAAATCATAACAAATCATAACTACTGGTTTGAAATACAAAGGACTAATGCGGCTCTGTACTGGTTGTAATTACCTGTAACTTTGTCTTTTACTGGCATACATTAATTTAAAATTATGAAACGACGCGATATTTCCTGTGTGCCTGTAAAATAAAGATGTCATTATACATGCGTTTCAACAAAGGATCTTCCGGTATTTACGTAATAGGTCTGAGGTGAAAATTCACACCGTGTCATTGACTTTGACATTATTCCAATATTTTCACGTTGTCACTTACTTCTGATAATTTTATGATTTGGAGAGTGAAATGGAGTCAGATTTTTTATGATTTACTGCCAGGCATATCGTGGAATATGATAATGTCGAAGAAATCAACTATTTATATTTTATTTTGACGTTATGATGCAAAGAATACATATACTCCAGCCGAGTTCAAGCGTGTCAGTCACCATCTTGGATACACTTCCTCCAGGCAGACAGGATAATAATTCTAGACTTTGGAAAGCTAAATTGAATCAAAACTTTTAGGATTTGATACATGCTACATAGAGGAATATTACACTGTTGAAGATTTCAACTATATATTTTTATTTTCGATGCAATGAAGCAAAGAAGAAGACAATTCCCGCCATATATCCAAACAAAGGCAGAAATGTCAAATGCCGGTAGCAAGAAGTGACAATCATTTGGGGCGATATTTCTTTTTAAAAGTTATATTTATATTTACTTTGAATACTGCTGCCAACACGAGGGACTATATTTGAGTTCTATTTTAAAAAAGAAAAAAATTTTAGGGGATACTTGTTCACATTATTTTACCATTATGACAGAAAAGTCATAATTTTAGTTCCAGTGGAACTGACTTTTCAATATTATTTATAGTAGTTGCCGCTTTGTACAATTGAATTTTATATCATTTGAAAGAACACCACTATCTGTACATTTTTGTAGCAGAGTATTTCTTTGTTTAGTTATTTGCAATTTTGTAGAGGGTATTGGGATTAACAATAATCCACTAATTGGCTTAGGGAGATGGTCCCTGCTGATTTAATGAGTCTAGGGGTAGGTAGCTAATCTTTTAATTGGCTCTAGGGTTAAATGTGTTAAAGGACAATGTATTTCCTTAATTTTCAAAATTTACAAATTTCACCCATCTATTTCCAAAAATCTAAGTTCCATTCAAAGTTTTAATATTTTATTTTTCAATATTTTCCCGCCATTGTTCAGTTCCTTCTCGCTATTTTCATTTCATTTTCTGATCTGTCCCATTTTCAAAAGGCTTGATTGATTTTTTGCCCAGTTGAAATGTTTCTCGCTATTATTAAGCTTATAACTTCACAAGTTTTTGTCCAAATCTTTGTTACTGAAACAAAGAAGCCTATTGAATTTCAGCAATTTCCGTTAATTACTTCTAGAGTTATGGGACTTGTTTCACATTGTTGAACCTCGTGAACAGTAAAACCACCAAAGTTACCTTCCGATCTGTATGAAATTTATATGCATAAAAAAATCTTGTCAAATTTCTACAATTTCTGTAAATTACTTACAAAGTTTAGGCCCTTGTTTCAGTTTGTAGAAACTTTTTAACCCTCAAACGACGAAAATTACAAACTGATCTGTATGAAAAAAATGTAAATGCCCTGCATTACCGGCAAAGAATAAATATGCAACAACCCTTGTTGACTGCTTGGATGATTTAGCTGCTGTGGGCGTATGTATGTTTCGTTGCCTGTCAATCTATCTTTTCGATTTTTTTGAAAACTTTGATTATTAATTTCTCAAAGGGGGAGATAAGTTAGAAGATTTCTAATGACACTGTTCAGGTTGAATCAGACATACTTGCATTGTTAGTTTTTTGTTTGTAAAATTCAATGATTTCAGATTTGTAAAACCTTTCAGAAAGATCCCATGGTTAGATTCTGAGATATATGATTTGTAGGAAAATAACCCCCCAAAAATGAAGAATAGTAATCTTAACAAAGCTTAAACATACATTATGCAAGAGCTAAATCTGCCTATTGCAAGTCTTTATTTAGGCTTCAGATGTTATAGAAATTATTAATTAGAATTTATTTACACGACAAGCTTAAAATCAACTCTGTAGACCAACGGATGGCTTGGATACAGTTTGGATTTAAACAGCCTCGTCCATTTAAAATTAAATCAATAAATGGCGGACCAAGCTAACGTTTACTGTTACTGGCTGATGTCACAAGCCTGCCAAGCGAGGCTACCATAGCCATTGAGCATGTTACTTGATAATCAAGAATATGTGGGTGGAGTTATTGTTTGTCAATCAAATGATCGCCAATTCTCATAGACGGTGAAGATACATGTGATGCTTATTTCTAGTCCAAACTTCTAACAGCGACAATTCCGTTCAGAACAAAGTAATTTGACTGAAATTTTCAACATTTTCTTTTTTTATCATCTATTTTTGAATTATTATAGAAAGAATGGCCAACTCTTTATAAAACTCTTTTCACACAAGCTACGCAGTGGGAAACACTAATAATGGAAATAGATATAATAATTGCAATGTTGAATGTATAACTGCTTATTTTTACAGAGGAGAATCGCCAAGTGAAGCAGATTCTAATTTATTGGATACAGCTAGAAAAGTTGAAATGTACGGCATCAGGCTACATCCAGCCAAGGTAAAGAAGTATTGATCATATTAAATGAAAAATCTCCTTAAAGGGTTTTTATATGCCTATATTTTCATGTGGATTTATTATGCTGTTGCCAGTGTCCGCCCGTCCTTCAACAATTTGTTTATGGACATTCTATTATATAGGTAACAATTTTTATCCTATTTTAACGAAACTTGAAATATAGGTATATCTCCCAAAGATCTTGGTAACTTTCGATATTGGCATGTATCAGACAATAACTTCATGGATTATGGCCCCTGATTGTACAAAAAATCACGTTTTTAGCTAGTGGACACTCTAGACGTCAAAATTTTCATCCGATTTTGATGAAACTTGAAATATAGGTATATCTCCCAAAGATCTCGGTTACTTTCGATATTGGCATGTATTGCCCCTGATTGTACAAAAAATCACGTTTTTAGCTAGTGGACACTCAAGAGTCACAATTTTCATCTGATTTTGATAAAACTTGAAATGTGTGTTTATAATCCAAAGATCTTGGTTTCTTCGATATTTGCGCATATCTGACCGTAACTTCCTGGATTATGGCCCCTGATTGTACAAAAACTCACCTTTTTATACGCCCACATTGAAATGTGGTCGTATATTGTTGTCGCCCCAGTCCGACTGTCCACCCGGCGTCCACAATTGCTTGTGGACGCTCTATAGGCATAGGCTAAAGTTAATATCCGAGTGACTTTAAATTTATACACAGTGATAAATGTCATGAGACGAAGAAGCCTATTGATTTTCAGCGATTTTCGATTATTACTGCCGGAGTTCTGGCCCTTGATCACTTCTGGACGCTCTAAA